AAAATACACAAATAACGGATTATATTTTAAGGGAAGAAAAATTTAGCTCTAAGAATCAAGGATATCAAAGTTTAACTAAATTTGACTAAATCTATGATCCCAAGGTTTTGAATATTTAACACTTCGTATATTCCAGATCCTAGGGAATTTATCCATGTCCACATTTCCACATTTCTAAATCCCAACTATGGAACAAACTTCCGGAATCTTGAAGATTTTTCTTAACCATGGCAACTTTTCTTAGCATGAGACTAATTTCTGCCGAGTCTTCATATAGTCTCCAGTTATAATTTTTTTCTGTGTTTAGGATCTCGAACATTTTCTATACCTTTGGAATTCTTCACAAGATTTTTTTAACTAGTTCGTTTATTTTGAAGACTCAATAACGTTAGCTTTACGGAGCCGATATTATTCTTTGCTTGTAACAAAATTCACTTAATTCTATGTCTAGTAGGAGTTGGGCCGAATACTCGCGGCTTACCCGAGGTTAGAGAGGTACATTGTCGAAGGGTAGGATCAGGGGAGGAGCTTGGGGGTACGGTCTCGTTGTCTCAGCAGAGCGTTGTCACCAGTATGAATGGTAGTGCGGTTCTAGTTTCGTCTGAAGTTCTTCACAGGATTGATTTGTCAACAATTTGCTCAGAACCAGCATTTACTCAGAGTTTAACCAAGAACTCTCTCTAGTATTCTCATATAATTTGCTCCATAATACTCTAGAACATCTCTGCTGAATACTTTCTGAATTCACTTTGAAATTACTTCCCAATGTATCCTATTCGAAATACTCCTAAAAATTCGCTTGAAACTCTACTATTAATGCTCTAAAAATTATCACCAGAATAGCCTTGGAATACACCTAGGAATTTTAAAGTATTTCTCATGAATATATCCTTAAATTCCGTTGGATCTTTTCTCGGAATTTAATTCACTCAGAATTTTCCTAGGAATTCCCAGGAAACTTTCCTCAGCATTCCTTTGAAATGATCTTCTCAATTTTCATTGAATTCTTTTCAGAATTCCTTTTGAATTCTTCGTCTTTTTTGTAATTAATTTCACATATATCTTTGAATTCACCGTAGAATTCACTTACAGTTTTCCTCACAAATTTCTAAGAATTTTCTGTAAAATAAGTTTGTAATTATATTCACAACTCCTATGAAGTTCTTCTACGCAGTTCTATGAAGTACCACGGGAATAATTGTCACTTTTTTGACATAGCATTACGTCTTTTAGCAACATATTGGGGGTGCAATTTAAAAAAAAAAACTAAAATCGACCGCATAACGAAAACTGGTCAGGTTTTGACCACTTATAACTGTGTCAATAGCGGATGGATTTGAATTCTAAACAAGCCAATCGATTGGAAATTTTTCTACGAATCCGCTAAAATGAACACTCTATTAATTTTCAATAGGTCACTATTGAAAATTACACAAATGTCCAACTGCTGCAATGGTGATCAAAATTATCACCGATTGCCTGCAAAACGTGGTTTCCCTAACACAGTCGCCGAATGTTGATATCGAGCGCGTAATCCTACGTCAAATCTACGGGGTCGTGTCTTGGATACAATCTCTTACCTTTTTTTCATACCCAAGAGCAATCTTTCTTTGCATACGCTTAGTATTCTTAGTATGCTTTGGATTCCTTTTCTGTTTTCCTTCGAATTCCATAGGAACTGTCCTTTATATTGCCTTTGAATTATTCTCAGTATATTCATGAAATTATCTTCAGAACTCTCTCGGACGTTGCCTCAGAATTTCTTAGAAATTCTAGTTTTATTAAAACTTCCATTAAATCCTATTAAGGATTCTCTTAGAATTCTACTTAGGTTTTCTAGAATCTGGAGTTCATAAGAACCATCTTGAAAGCAATCCTCTGGATATTTGTTGGGACTAGGATTATCCGAAATTTTATTAAATTTTGACTATTCCATTGACTTGAAAGCCATTCTCTGAATATCTGGATTATCCGGATATTTTGATTTTTAAATTTTATTAAATTTTGATCATTCCATTGACATGGACACCTAAAACCAACTAGGGTGCGTTTAGCAATGTTGGCTCTAGCACCTAATAAATTGTCATGGTTTTATTTGCGTAGATTCATGGCACAATATTTTTTTAAACCTATGTATCGATACAAATTTTGAAAAAATTAAAACTATGAAATTTAAGATAGAGCCAATGTGAATCAATAGAAATATTAACTGTTAGATCCGGATACTTACTATCCTATTAGGACAGTTACTATCCGCTTAATAACAATCTCAATGTTCTCTCAATTTATATTATAGAGCTGAGTGTGCCCGGTCTTGCTCGGGATTCAATGGGGGTTATTCCGAGAGTCGAAGTGACTTTTGTCACTAGTGAAGTGAGAAAAGTCACGTCGTGGTGACGTGATTCTTCATTTGATTTGCACAGAGAGTCACGTCACCACGACGTGACTTTTCTCACTTCACTAGTGACAAAAGTCACTTCGACTCTCGGAATAACCCCCAATATTAGCTTGAGTTTATGCGAGGATTTTAAAAAATAGCATGCTGTATTGTACGTAGCCCCCCCCCCCCCTATTATCTAAGGGGCTACCCCCTATGATTTTCTCCTTATACCCCCACACTCTCCCCCACATGCCTAATTTGGTTCCATTTGCTTGATTAGTTCTCGAGTTATGCAGAAATTTCTGTTTCATTTGTATGGGAGCCCCCCCTTACAGAAGGGGGAGGGGTCTCGAACCATCATAAGAACCTTCCACGGCCCCAAAAACCCCTGTATACAAATGTTCACGCCAATCGGTTCAGTAGTTTCCGAGTCTATAAGGGTCAGACAGACAGACAGACAGACAGAAATTCATTTTTATATATATAGATTTATGAAGCTCCCGAAATTTTCCTAAAGTTTTCGGTACTTTCTTAATAGTCTTCAATCATCCCTGAAGTTGGCAAACCGATTTGGGACACTGGAAATCTTGGACGGTGCTTCCATTCAATTATTCCTAATGTCTCTTCGAGAGCGTGGTTTAAAGGATTGGGCTTAAATCGTGACTTCATTCGCGTGATCAGTAGACTTATGTCCAACCACTACTCGCTAGATGCACATCTCAATAGAATAAACCTCGTCGATAGCAACATCTGTCGGTGTGGAAACGGTTACGATGACATCGATCACGCAGTTTGGCAATGTACGGATAATGACGCCGCCAGAGAGCGACTTTTGAATACCCTCGAAGCTTAAGGAAGATAACCCTATATCTCTATCAGAGACGTGTTGGGTACCCGCGATCTCTGCTATATGCAGTCGATTTATGTGTTTCTGCAAATGTCTAGTATAAGAATTGAATTCGTTTGACTTTTGTATCTCTTTATTAGTTTTTTCTTTGTCTTGTCTCCCGTCTCGATGAGTCTCATCGTCGCCCACTGCTCACCATAGCCGCTCGAACTCCAGACGAATCTAGAACCGCACTACCGTTCATACTGGCGACAACGTTCTGATGAGACAACGAAACTCCACCCCCAAGCTCCTCCCCTTACCCTATCCTTAGAAAATGTACCCCTCTAGCCTCGGATAAGCCGCGAGTATTCGGCTCAACTCCTACTAGACATAGATTTATGTGGATTTTGTTACAAACAAAGAACAATGAATTATTGGCTCCGTAAAGCTAACGCGATTGAGCCTTCCAAATAAACGAACTAGATGAAAAACAAAATCATAACTGAAGTTCCCGAACTTTTCAAGAAGATCTTGGAAATTCTCTTAGGTTCCAAAATTTTCCTGATATTCATGGATCGTCCCTGAAGCCCCTACAAATTTCTACAAATGCTTGAAATATTCCTTAAATTCTCTAAATATTGATATCTTGACACTTCTTGCAAATTTCTGCATTTAATCGATGGAATTGCTCTGAAGTTCTCTGATCTTACCCGAAATACTAGGATTATTCCTGAATATAATAAAATTGCTTTTAAATCATTAAACTTCTCTGTAGCTCTCTAACCTTCGTGCAAAGCTCAGAACTTTGCTAAAGTTTTCGTTAATTCCCAGAGTTTCTTGGAGCTTCGGTTAAGTTACTACAATTTTCTTGAAGTTGATTGAAATGCCCTGAAGTTCTTGGTACTGTCCAGTTCTAAAAATCCTTAAACTTCTCTGAAAATTTCTGAGCATCTGTAATGCTCCTAAAATATGTCTTAAGTTCTCTGGAATTTCCAGAAGTTTGCTGGACTTCCTCTAAATACACTTGAACGAAATTCTAACGAAACATTTAACGATACTCTGACAAAAGATTCAGATTGAACGAATATTTGACAAAACATCCAACCAATCTTTCACAATGAAGGAATGGTTACTGCTTTCAGTTTGTTCAACTCTTGGAGATGCACACCGACAATTCTAAACAAAGCTGGTTATGTTAACATTCTAAATTAAGTTTTAATACTAGGCTCAATCGCGTTAGCTTCACGGAGCCGTTTAACTATTGGCGTGGACCGATACTCGCGGTTTATTCGAGGTTCCAAAGGGTAACATTTTTAGGAAAGTATCAGTGTTCACACGAAAAACGCATAGTTTCGACTTCCCTCGACCCCTTATTTCCATTTGAATTTACCGCTTCAATTCAGTAGGTATTATATCTGATAAAAACCTTATCACTCTATCTAGCAAATCCCAAACCCAACCGTCGCCATTCCTTCCCATCTGACTCACCTAATTGTGTCGCTGCAAACCGGCAGGAGGGTAGGGGTAAAATCTTCCCGAATCCTTTCTCACATGCACCGGCCACCGCAGGTCGACATGCAGAGCAGCTCGGGCTCAGGGCCGGCACTCGCTTATCAGCTGTTCGAAAACTTCCTCGTCAGAGACGGGACACAAAAAGCGCGCACTCTCCCTCTCTCTCGCACGCCCTCTATTGATTGCGCACACACGCTCAGTAACACACCACAGAGAGACACTACTAGGACACTGGATAAAAACACACAGAAAAACAACAATCACGAACAAAAACGGTACCTGTGCTGGTCCTCTGCACTTGATTCACCTTCTGCTCCCTTTTTCCTATCTTTTAGCAATATTCAATCAACGAAAAAAAAACAATTCGCACTCTATTTATGTCCTTCTGTTGTGTTTTCCTCACATTCGTCTGTTATGCTTCCGCACTTCACTTCACTCTTGATGACGTCACACACTCGTCACTCGTCAGAAATGAAAAATCGAAAATTTTCTTCACCTTGCACGATAGGCGACTGCGGCACCGGGATTTGCTCATTCAAGTGACATTTCTTCCTCTTTAATTTTAAACACTCACTTCCACTAGCACCGAATTTCCTCGCTTCCTCTCCTCACTCACCCACACTCTCTATCTCTGTGCGGACTCACCGCCGAACTCTCTTCACTTGCAAGATATATATATATATATTTTCCCGTTTTCGTTGGATGCTTGGACTTGTTATGGATTTTTCCTGAGAAACGGACAAAAACAACTTGTATTAGAAAATGACTTGGAAATTTTCCGGTAGTTTTTCTCGAGCGCTCACACATTCAAACACAGTCACAAACGCACAAACACACACACGCGCACGCCTCACACTCGATGATCTGCTCTGCTGGATGCTGCGCGCGAGATCTATCCAGAAGAGTATATATTTAGTGACAGCACACACACGCTACTTCACAGGAGGTGGGGAAGGCGGGGCCGGCTGGCTGTGCGGTACCTTTTTTTTATAGAGACAAGAACGCTCCGTTGAAATCACCACACCGACGACGACTATGTACTACTGCTGCTGTTGACTTCTCACGGACGACTACTGGTTTGGAAACTGAACTGAGCCGACGGGCTGTAGCAGCGCTGATGCTCTCAACGTCTCAACTGACCAACAACAGAGTCCCATCCACACCACTCTGCTCCGAGAGAAATGGGTGATCGAAGAAGGCAAAAACAAGACCCACACGCAACACTCGATCGTCAGGAGCTACGAGCGACGGAGAGCCGGAGAGTGCTCAATGTATGTTTTTGTGGGGAGCGGTGCTCATGTTCTTCCACTTGGGGGGAGCGGATCATGGGATGGTTGCCAGATTGGTGGAAGTTTTGCTTGCTTTGTTGACTTTTGATTTAACGAATCTCTGGATTGGAAATTTGTTGAGGTTTCTTCTACTACTACAGTGAAACAAGTAATTCAAGTAATGATCAGATATCAGTTTATTAAATATGTCTATTCGGCTTGACAGGGAATGAATTAAAGTATAGTTCTAACATCTTCATAGGCTACTATCAAATGATTGCTTCGTTTCCCCCGTTCAATCAATGAGGCCAATTCTTGCTCGAAGATCCTGGAAGCGATTCTTGTCTGAATAAATACAGTTTCTTGGTCAATTGTGGAAATCAGCTTTGTTGAAATCTTCCCAGGTAACTAATTGGGAAGCACAGATCTGGCGTAACAGTCATCATCTGATACATTAGGCTTCCAAGAAGTTCCCTACACGGCTCTGCAGTCCTCTTTCCTTCATGGTTCAGTTGGAAGTACCTTTTCCATCGGAGTATTTGAAGCATTGCACTCTGTCAGCCGGAACCGGCTCAATATTTTGTTCACGTTGACCACCTGGGATAGTTTGAGCTCACCTGAATTCCGACGATAATCCATTTCAAATTCCAAGACCAAGACCATTTTAATTTTAGAATGATCTCTAAGTTCCTTGCGACAATAAGGAGATCGTCCACGTACAGCACCAAATAAACCTTGTCGGATTTCTTTATTGACACGTAGAGGCAGTAATCCCGCTTTGATCAGGTCAGGCCCAACTTCAACAATACGCCGTTTAGGCGCTCGTTCCAACTACATCGATTAACGTAGCTTGTATACAGTATTCGCTTCCTTTTTCATTCCATCTGATACTATCATGTACAGCCGTGAAGAAAGGCTGTCTGCACATCAATCTGATGTATATGGAATCCTTGATGCATCCTTCTTCAAACAGAATACCCGCTTCGTTTTCAGTGGCCTGCCATCGTTGGGACAGGTCGTCAGCTTCCACACTTCATTTCTGGCCATAGACTCAAGCTCTGTGCCGCCTTATACCAGAGCTCCCGAGCATCACGACCTTCTATTTGACTATAGTTTTCAGGAACATCTGAGAGGGAAGATGAACCAACAGCATTCGCCAAGTTCTTGTTGCACAGGGAACACAGTGGGTAGCTTCGGAGATTCTTCTGGAATTCCGAATTTAAATTCTCCGAAACATCACTTTCATTACTGCTTCCATCGGATTTGCTGTTGGCCCCCTTTTGCTCGAACGTTACCGGAACTATAAGTTCCTCCTTTTTTGAGTCATGATCTGCATATGGGAAACTGGCAATCACAATTTTACGAAGTTCCTTGTTCCTCAGCCGGTATCCGTAGGTGGCGTGTCTGATAATTATCTGCTCTCTACTGTTAGCGTTGCTGAGCGGGAATTCAAGCAAATGCTTTGCAACCAAATACTCTCAGCCTCTCCAGATTAGGTATTTCAACGAATCTCTTGATAAGAGATTCAACGAATCTGTGGATAAGAGATTCAATGAATCTCTGGATAAGAGATTCAATGAATCTCTGGATAATTGATTCAAAGGATATTCTGGTTAAGAGATTCAACGAATCTCTTGATAAGAGATTCAAATAATCTCTGGATAAGAGATTCTAATAATCTCTGGATAAGAGATTCAAATAATCTCTGGATAAGAGATTCAATGAATCTCTGGATAAGAGATTCAAAGAATCTCTAGATAAGAGATTCAACGAATCTCTGGATAAGAGATTCGAATAATCTCTGGATAAGACATTCAAATAATCCCTGGATAAGAGATTCAACGATAAGATCTTTAACAAATCTCTGGATAAGAGATTAAACGAATCTCTGGATCAAATATTAAACGAATCGCTGCATTAGAGATTCAACAAATCTCTCGATAAGGGATTTACCGAATCTCTGGATAAAAGATTCAACAAATCTCTGGAAAAGAGATTCAACCAATCTCTGGATAAGAGATTCAAACAATCTCTCGATAAGAGATTTAACGAATCTCTGGATAAAAGATTACACGAATCTCTGGATAAGAGATTCAACAAATCTCTGGATAAGAAATTTAACGAATCTCTTGATAAAAGATTCAACGAATCTCTGGATAAGGGATTCAACGAATCTCTGGATAAAAGATTTTACGAATCCATGGATAAGAGGTTCAACGGATCTCTGGATAAGATATTCTACAAATCTCTCGATAAGATATTCTACAAATCTCTCGATAAGACATTCAACGATAAGATATTTAACGAATTTCTAGATTTTTCTGGATAAGAGATTCATCGAATCTCTGGATAAAAGATTAAACGAATCTCTGGATAAGAGATTCAACGAATCTGTGGATAACTGATTCCACCTATCTCTGGATAAGATATTCAAATAATCTCTGGATAAGAAATTCAACGATAAGAGAATTAACGAATCTCTGGATAATAGATTCAACGAATCTCTGAATAAGAAATCAAACGAATCTCTGGATAAGAAATTTGACGAATCTCTGGATAAGAGATTCAAATGATTTCTGAATAAGAGATTCAACGATAAGATATTTCCGGAGTGATTTGAGATTTGGGCGTAATTGCATTTGTAAACAAACACGTAAATTGTCAATTTCTTGTGAATAAAAGTTCAATCTCGTTAACAAACTATACCAAATGATAAAGGAATCAATCCTCTACCTCATAGTGTTATTTGTTTTCAAGATTGAGCTTTAATTCGCAAGAAATCGGCGGTTGAAATGTTTGTTTACAAATGCAATTACGCCAAAATTTTAAATCACTCCGGATTTAACGAATCTCTGGATAAAATATTAAACGAATCTCTGGATAAGAGGTTCAACAAATCTCTGGATAAGAGATTAAACGAATCTCTTGATAAAAGATTCAACAAATCTCTGGATAAGAGATTCAAAGAATCTCTGGATAATAGATTAAATGAATCTTTGTATAAGAGATTTAACGAATTTCTGGATAAGAGATTCAATGAATCTTTGGATAAAAGTTTCAACGAATCTCTGAATAAGAAATTCAACGAATCTCTGGATAAGATTCAAATAATTTCTGAATAAGAGATTCAATGGTAAGATATTTAACGAATCTCTGGATAAGAAATTCAAAAAATCTCTGGATAAGAGAATTAACGAATCTCTTGATAAAAGATTCAATAAATCTCTGGATAAGAGATTCAACGAATCTATTGATAAGAGGTTTAACGAATCTCTGGATAAGAGATTCAAATAATCTCTGGATAAGAGATTCAACGATAAGATATTTAACGAATCTAAGAAATTCAATGTATCTTTGGATAAGAGATACAACGAACCTCTTGATAAGAGATTCAACGAATCTCTAGAGAAGAGATTCAACGAATCTCTGGATAAGAGATTCAAGAAATCTCTGGATAAAAGATTAAAAGAATCTTTGATAAGAGTTTCAGCGAATCTCTAGATAAGAGTTTCAGCGAATCTATGGATAAGAGGTTCAACGAATCTCTGGATAAGAGATTCAAATAATCTCTGGATAAGAAATTCAACGAATCTCTGGATAAGAGTTTCAAATAATCTCTGGATTAGAGATTCAACGATAAGATATTTAACGAATCTCTGGATAAGAAATTCAATTAAAATTTGGATAAGAGATTCAACGAATCTCTGGATAAGAGATTCAACGAAACTCTGGATAAGAGATTCAACGAATCTCTGGATAAAAGATCAAACGAATCTCTGGATAAGAGATTCAACGAATCTCTGAATAAGAAATGCAACGAATCTTTGGATATGAGATTCAACGAATCTCTGTATGAGAGATTCAAATAATCTCTGGATAAGAAATTCAACGATAAGAGAATTAACGAATCTCTGGATAATAGATTCAACGAATCTTTGGATAAGAAATTCAACGAATCTCTGGATAAGAGTTTCAAATAATCTCTGGATAAGAAATTCAACGATAAAAGAATTAACGAATCTCTGGATAATAGATTCAACGAATCTTTGGATAAGAGTTTCAACGATTCTCTGAATAAGAAATTCAACAAATCTCTGGATAAGAAATTCAACAAATCTCTGTATGAGAGATTCAAATAATCTCTGGATAAGAGATTCAACGAATCTCTGGATAAGAGATTCAACGAATCTCTGGATAAGAGATTCAACGAATCTCTGGATAAGAGATTCAACGAATCTCTGGATAAGAGATTCAACGAATCTCTGGATAAGAGATTCAACGAATCTCTGGATAAGAGATTCAACGAATCTCTGGATAAGAGATTCAACGAATCTCTGGTTAAGAGATTCAACGAATATCTGGATAAGAGATTCAAAGAATCTCTGGATAAGAGATTTAACGAATCTCTGGATAAGAGATTCAACGAATCTCTGGATAAGAGATTCAACGAATCTCTGGATAAGAAATTCAACGAATCTTTGGATAAGAGATTCAACGAATCTCTGTATGAGAGATTCAAATAATCTCTGGATAAGAAATTCAACGATAAGAGAATTAACGAATCTCTGGATAATAGATTCAACGAATCTTTGGATAAGAGATTCAACGAATCTCTGGTTAAGAGATTCAAATAATCTCAGGATAAGAAATTCAACGAATCTCTGGATAAGAGTTTCAAATAATCTCTGGATAAGAGATTCAACGATAAGATATGAATCTTTGGATAAGAGTTTAAACGATTCTCTGAATAAGAAATTCAACGAATTTCTGGATAAGAAATTCGACGAATCTCTGGATAAGAGATCGAAATAATTTCTGAATAAGAGATTCAACGATAAGATATTTAACGAATCTCTGAATAAAAGATTAAACGAATCTCAGGATAAGAGATTCAACAAATCTCTGGATAAAGGATTAAACGAATCTCTGGATAAGAGATTCAACTAATCTCTGGATAAGAAATTTAACGAATCTCTTGATAAAAGATTCAACAAATCTCTGGATAAAAGATTCAAAGAATCTCTGGATAATAGATTAAACGAATCTTTGGATAAGAGATTTAACGAATTTCTGGATAAGAGATTCAATGAATCTTTAGATAAAAGTTTCAACGAATCTCTGAATAAGAAATTCAACGAATCTCTGGATAAGATTCAAATAATTTCTGAATAAGAGATTCAACGGTAAGATATTTAACGAATCTCTGAATAAAAGATTAAGCGAATCTCTGGATAAGAAATTCAACAAATCTCTGGATAAGAGATTTAACGAATCTCTTGATAAAAAATTCAACGATAAGATATTTAACGAATCTCTGAATAAGAAATTCAATGAATCTTTGGATAAGAGATTCAACGAATCTCTTGATAAGAGATTCAACGAATCTCTAGATAAGAGATTTAACGAATCTCTGGATAAGAGATTCAACAAATCTCTGGATAAAAGATTAAACGAATCTTTGATAAGAGTTTCAGCGAATCTCTAGATAAGAGTTTCAGCGAATGTATGGATAAGAGGTTCAACGAATCTCTGGATAAGAGATTCAAATAATCTCTGGATAAGAAATTCAACGAATCTCTGGATAAGTGCTTCAAATAATCTCTGGATTAGAGATTCAACGATAAGATATTTAACGAATCTCTGGATAAGAAATTCAATTAATCTTTGGATAAGAGATTCAACGAATCTCTGGATAAGAGATTCAACGAAACTCTGGATAAGAGATTCAACGAATCTCTAGATTAAAGATCAAACGAATCTTTGATAAGAGTTTCAGCGAATCTCTGGATAAGAGATTCAACGAATCTCTGGATAAGATATTCAAAAAATCTCTGGATAAGAAATTCAACGAATCTCTGGATAAGAGATTCAAATAATCTCTGGATAAGAGATTCAACGAATCTCTGGATAAGAGATTCAAATAATCTCTGGATAAGAGATTCAACGATAAAAAATTCAATGAATCTTTGGATAAGAGATTAAACGAATCTTTTGATAAGAGATTCAACGAATTTCTGGATAAGAGATTCAATGAATCTTTGGATAAAAGTTTCAACGAATCTCTGAATAAGAAATTCAACGAATCTCTGGATAAGATTCAAATAATTTCTTAATAAGAGATTCAACGATAAGATATTTAACGAATCTCTGAATAAAAGATTAAACGGATCTCTGGATAAGAGATTCAACGAATCTCTAGGTAGAGATTCAACGAATCTCTAGGTAGAGATTCAATGAATCTCTAGGTGGAGATTCAATGAATCTCTAGGTAGAGATTCAACGAATCTGTGTAATAAACGTTATCCGACTTGCCCCGGAAATTCCTTCTAACTCTTCCTGACTTCTTATAAGTTCTTTACATCCCCTCCAAGAAATGTTCATCAGCCTCCTCTGCAAATGTATCTTATTTTATTAATACAGTACCCGGTAACAAGCCAAGTTTAATCGAACGGTTTTATTTCGAAATTCAATTAAGGCCACCGAGAGCCATCTTTATGGCATAGACGATATTAATTGAAATATTGAAAATTTTGGAACGGTGCGAAAATCGATCCGGTTTTGTTGCCAAAATCGAACTGGTACTGTATTTTTATTAAAAATTTCCCGGTTGGTGTCGGGCCATCCTCCGAAAATTATATTTAGCATGTTTTTTTTATTAACTGTTTCCCAGGAGATTGAATTAGTCTAGAATTGGGAAACGCGATTTTTGATGGAATTAGCGCAAATTGATCCTCAGGACGTCATTGGAATTTCAATAAAAAAATAAACAGAAATCCTGGCTATTCCACTGAACCCAGAGAACATGAACATGAATACAATCTATACCGCACACTACAAAATGTACATCTTATTCAAGCATTCCGATGTGTCTATTCGTAACAAATACGTTTCACTCCCCAAACCGTATCCGAAGGTTGTGCTTCGTTCCTCTCGGGCAACGCCAGGTCTTGAAAATCATGAGATAATGCTTCTTTAGATACCGAGCTCTCCCGCTGCGTTGTAGGGGAACCAGTTGAAGGCAAAAAAAAACACGCCAACAACACAACGAACGAAGGAATGAGAAAACCCTCGCTCGCCCTAGAAATACACCGGGGGCCACTTCCGGGCACGGCAGTTCACGTTCCTCCAATACAATGCCGTCATCGGGGATGCCTTTCCCCGGTATTCAAAACGGACTGTGTTTATATAATCGATCAAAATCTCCACTGCTTCTCGGCCATTCCGAGAATTCCAGCCACAGCCCCAACATCAGACAGATAATCCACCTCCTTCTTCGTGCTCCACCCTAATCAGCATCAACAGCAGCAGTTCCAAGCATAGGTAATCAAAATGCAAAACACACTCACACACACTTCACTCCGAAGAACGCAAAGAGCAATCGTCACACACAATAAAAAACGATTATTACACCTACTTCACACGCAGTTTTTCCTTCACGGAAATTCACTGTTTTTCACGACACGTCCGCGCCTAGTTATAAAATTTCCTTCTCCAGCGACAGACTACCAACAACCGCGACCGACCGACACCGTCCGGATGATTTTGCCACTCGCGTTTACCGTCGATTCCAGTAACTAGGTACCTATGTACGGATCACGGCGAATAGGTGATGGAACACTGATGAACCAGGATGGCGCGGCGGGGGGGACACTACTCAATAGCGGTGGCCACAAACGCAATCACATCTGATCACCACAAACATAACGACACGAATAGAGGAAAATCCTCTCTTTCCGTCCGGACCGGAGCAAACGGTCGGAAAATTTTGCTTTATTTTTCTTTTGCGTGAATGGAACGTCAAATGTGAACCGGTTCGCGGATCGCACAATCGTCGTTTAGAGCTGGGAGATATGGTGCACGCTTGTTTGAGACTAATCGAAGTTGATTAACCCATCTATCAGCGCGGTTTTCGTTGAGACATTCGCCAGCCCTAATAAAATTCCCTAATAAAAATTGTATGGTTAATTTGCTTAACGACGTGTTCTGGGTATCATTCAAACCATTTGTGGAATAGTTCAATGATTTGGGTTATCGTTCGTTTATGGTTATTTTTTATTAGGGTTGGTATGGTTATTTTGATTAACGACGTGTTTGGGGTATCATCCAAACCATTTGTGGAATAGTTATATTATGTGTGTTATCGTTCGTTTATGGTATTTTTTATTATGAGGTCTTGCCGATAAATACGAACCCGAGCACGAACCCACATGAAACGAAAATCAATTATTTTATTTTTGCCAAAACATCAACCTTATACATTCCATAAGACAAACCACATAGGTCCTATAAGAATGCATATTGGTAAGGTCAAGAATTTAAAGATTTTCAAATCTAATAGATTAAAAGTTACGCGAAATCGTAGCTCACCGCATAGTTTGATATAAAGAGAAAGAATAAACAATTAGTATAAAAATAGATTATACATCATAGTGTATATTCTGCAAGTATACAAGCTATGTTTAACCTTAGTTTGTTCGAGGGTTTGTTTGCTTTCAGCTGCTGTCACACTAGGATTTTATTTTTATTTTTAATTGACTACTTTTTTAGCAGTTTTGGCGCGACTTTCTACCAGCGATTCCACAAAACTGGACCAACTTATAACTATTATTTTATGAAACGCACAAATGATGGCTACTTTTCTTGTGGTTCTAGAAGTAAAATTCTCAAAATAATGTTTTATGTCAAAGTTCAAATGGTAGTAAACGTCATTTTAAGTGCTCGAATGAAGTGGTTAATTGATAGAAAAATGAATTATGAAGAAACGTTGGAAACTATTTGAATTTTTCATACATTTTCATTGATTTTAATATCGTCATCGTCATCAGCTCACTGGGCATCCAGCAATCATCAAATGGGTTGTGGCTGCATTCAAGCTTGCGTTTTCTTTAGTTGCTGATGCGACTGAGTTCCGGGCTACTGCTGACTTGGCTGACCAGACCAAGGACCAGACTGACCACCCGGTTGTCTTGTATAGGGCTGGAATTGTGATTGTTGTTGCGCCCCGTTTGTCCTATTTCTTCTTTCCGGCAAACTGGTTACTCAGTATCTGCAGTGAGCTAATCCACGTTGACTTAAAAATTCCTTCCTTTCTTCTGCGCAGTGCTAAGACCATAGAGGTAACTCTAAGACCAGAAGGTCCCGAAGAAACTAGCTCAACTTTTTGGCTCAACTCTGGTACAATCTTCGGTCCCAAGCTAATCGATTCACCCCTCGAAACATAGGAAAATCCACTAACCCCTCATTTTATCTGTCAAACTTTCATAGCGAATCAAAACAAACATAGTGAAGTACTGGATTTTATACTAGAATGGGGTACGTTAGTCGATTTGCATGGGACCAATAGGCTAGTCAAGTAGTGAGCCAATTTAAAATCGTTAGTTTCGTATTGATTGTTGCTAAGACCCTCCTTGGAGAATGCTTTCGTTTTCGTTTTTTCACTCAAGTGAAAGGCAGCAGGGATGAAGCAGCTTTCTTGTGCTGAAATCCAAGAACATAACTTTCTGAAACACATCCCATCCCCATAAAATAACACCCTAGAAGCATACCTTAAATAATTTGGCATCCTCCTTCCAGAACAGAGTAAGCTGCCTTACAATCGGTATCCTATGCCCGAGCCTATGCCATCGTGTACGTTTTCTTGGCATAGGTTGAAGGGATTCCTAGACCATTTTGTTCCATTTTTTTGCGTACTGAAAAACTTCCCAAAAACAAAAATAAATTTTCACAAATTGATGTCTGTCAAACACAGAGCAGTTATACCACAGACAAACAGACATAACACATTGAATATTTCTCACTGTAAAACATCGTCGTTAAAACATTACCGCCATCTGTTGAGTACACTGTGGTGGGTAGTACGCTGAACAGATGGCGGTAGTGTGGAAACGTCAAACGCAAGGGAATTGACTATGCTCGCCACAGGTGGTGGTACTACCAACTAAGATACTTTTAAATTGACCGATAAATGCTTGTTCGATGAACATCTCGCGAGTGTTATGTCTGTTTGTCTGTGGTTATACCAACAATCAATACGAAACTATCGATTTTAAATTGGCTCACTACTTGACTAGCCTATTGGTCCCAAGCAAACGATTAACGTACCCCATTCTAGTCGAAATTCTACTACTACACAATGTTTGTTTTGATTCGTTATGAAAGTTTGACAGATAACATGAGGAGTTAGTGAATTTTCCTATGTTTCGAGGGGTGAATCGATTAGCTTGGGACCGAAGATAGTACCAGAGCTGAGCCAAAAAGTTGAGCACGTTATTTCGGGACCTTCTAGTCTTAGAGTTACCTCTATGCTAGTACCAACAATCAATACGAAACTAACGATTTTAAATTTATTTTAAATCAAAATATGACCTCGGTGAATTATAATCGCCGACGAACCGACATGCGAGGACCGAAGAGAGTACCAGAGCTGAGCCAAAAAGTTGAGCACGTTTCTTCGGGACCTACTAGTCTTAGAGTTACCTCTATGGTACCAGTGCCACAACACCGTCGAGCCGTAGCACTTGGTCGTCAATGGTACCAACCGGTGGAAACTAACAATTTTAAATTTGTTTACTACTTGACTAGCCTATTGGTCCCATACCCATTCTAGTCAAAATTCTAGTACTACACTATGTTTGTTTTGATTCGCTATGAACGTTTGACAGATAAAATGAGGGGTTCGTAGATTTTCCTATGTTTCGAGGGGTGCATCTATTAGCTTGGGACCGAAGAGAGTACTAGCATAGAGGTAACTCTAAGACCACTGGGTGCCGAAGAAAATCATTATTATTTTTGGCTCACTCAGTACCAGAACAACGGTCCCAAGCAGTCCCAAGCTATTTCACTCACCCCTGCATGTTCTGCATGAATCCACACACCCCTGATGTTATCTGTCAAACTTTCATAGCGAATCAAAACAAACATAGTGTAGTAATAGAATTTCAACTAGAATAGGGTACGTTAATCGTTTGCTTGGGACCAATAGGCTACTAAAGTGGTGAGCCAATTTAAAATCGTTAGTTTCGTATTGATTGTTGGTCTTAGAGTTACCTCTATGCTAGTACTCTCTTCGGTCCCAAGCTAATAGATGCACCCCTCGAAACATAGGAAAATCTACGAACCCCTCATTTTATCTGTCAAACGTTCATAGCGAATCAAAACAAACATAGTGTAGTACTAGAATTTTGACTAGAATGGGTATGGGACCAATAGGCTAGTCAAGTAGTAAACAAATTTAAAATTGTTAGTTTCCACCGGTTGGTACCATTGACGACCAAGTGCTACGGCTCGACGGTGTTGTGGCACTGGTACCATAGAGGTAACTCTAAGACTAGTAGGTCCCGAAGAAACGTGCTCAACTTTTTGGCTCAGCTCTGGTACTCTCTTCGGTCCTCGCATGTCGGTTCGTCGGCGATTATAATTCACCGAGGTCATATTTTGATTTAAGTAGCATTGACGGTATAGTGAAATAAAATGAACATTTCGTATTCAAATCCCTCTAGAAAATCAAAGATGCACATCAAGTTGATCGGAATAAATTTTTTTTACGAAATTAGATGATTGTATTGGAACGATGTTTTTCGGGTTTGATGAAAGTTATGTTTTAATTTTAATACTCATTTTGGCATCTGGTAGAACACTGCAATCTTCCAATATTTGTTTTTGTGCACAGCTGATTAATTTTTTTTTTCTCAGTGTAGAATCGGTTAAAAAACCTTCATCGGCACAGCCTTGTTTTCGAATTTTCCCGATCGGCTCTTTCCTCTATTGTGATCGTTGACAGTTCTGGAATCATCATTGATGATTGTATAAATAGTGCCACTGACTGATACTGGCACGTTGATCGGCAGAAGTTGAAAGCAGTGTATACACAACAGATTATCACCATTATCACCCATTGCGTATTTCGTAACGAAAGTTTTAATTGTCCACGGTTTAAAATTGTCCTGCATCGGTTGAGTATTCTCCAACCTCATCCACCATGACATCGGCATTCAGTTCCAACGAAGCAGCTGCAATCGAACGGCAAGTAGAACTGGACCCGGACCAACCAGAGACTGTTGACATTCAGCTGGAAGATTTCTGGAACGAGACTCGACTAACGGAATGCGCCGATTGGATCAAGGAGCACAATTTTGCAAAGGTATGTTTTTTTTTATGTAATGCTTTAGCATTCCTTTATTGTTGAAGCATTGATTTTTCAAGGTATGTCTACAATTCCCGGATGCTATGCTTCCGTTCAGTACCGCAATCGCGGAACAGCTCAAACAGACGGCACCACCGGCCGGCGTTTATATCCTTGGGGACACATCCTACGGGAGCTGTTGCGTCGATGAGATAGCTGCCGCACACGTTGGCGCCGATGCGATGATCCACTTTGGCCACGCTTGCCTTAGCCGATCCGCTCGATTGCCGATCAAATATGTTTTCTTCAGAGGGAAGCTTAGCGTTGATCGGTTCGTCGAAGCCCTGCAGAAAGAACTGACCGATCCGGATATGAGCGTTGGAATTTTCTACGACGTTAGCTTTGCCCATGCTGCTAAGGAAGTAACAGAAAAGTTGAAAGGGTTTTATACAAACCTCTCCGTTGGTCAGTTGGCCGCATCCGGGGAACAACCGGATCTCCTTTGTTGGAAGCTGAACGGACGTACATTTGAAAGTTCGGTTTGCATTTTCAT